ACCTTGAAACATACCCGGTACAAATCAAGGGGGGTACAAATCAAGGGGGGTACCTTATACGGCGTTTTACGGTAATTTGTTTAGGGTTCACTAATTTTCCCCCAAGTTACTATTGGTCGTGAGTAAATCGCATTTCTAATTGGATAAAATCGACGATCTTAAATAACGTAATGCATCTACAGCGAACAAGATCAGGTGTAGCATAAAAATTAAAATACAATCGCGAAAAAACATTTATCTCAAAATTTCTCCTAAGAAATCGCATACTTTATCTATTAATTCTGACATTAATCTTAACTTTTTAAGGATAAAATGGCATATAATTTGGTGCGAATAGTTCCAGCCAATAGGAACTTGGGGGAAAATTAGTAGTTTAGAGGTTGCAAATCATGCTATTTGATACGTACAAGATCATCTTTTTGACAGGTTTCCGCTCAAGAACGTTAAACTGGCAGTTGCAATGAATACTTAATACCTTCTATAAAGCCGGTTATTTATAAGATTTAGCGAATCAAATGGTCAAGCCACATTATATAAGCCTCAATCTTTAGTTAATCTTCTACTAAATGCACGATAGATTGACAGATTTGACATATAAAAACTTTGGTTATCACTTTTAAATTTTCGAAAATTACCAGAATTTAATAATTCTCCTAATGTTGAAACTTGCAAAAATAATAAGTGGTCATTCAAATAAAAAGAAAAAAGAAGATATATCTGCGTTGCGTAAATCTGCAGATACTTTAAAAGATTATTCTGCCATTTCGATAGTTGACAAAATTGACCAAACTAATCATACAAATTCTTCGATACTCAATCAAATTGATGTCACTTCTACGGACAACAGTTCTAATGTTGAGTCTAGTACTTACGCGGTAGAAGATCCTGTATGGTCAACAATTGAATGGAATATTCAATCTTTCGGAATTGATGAAGTCTCAATAATAACATCAAATGTGTGGAATGATGATAATCAACAACAAGTTCGTAATATTCGTAATAGTAATAGCAAAGACGGAATACTTAGAGATGATTTTGAAGAAAATGTGTGGGCAGATGTACAAATTGTTTCTTCTACACCTGGTTCTTCCTTTACAGCCACTGAGTTATCAAATAATATCGTACAATCGGTAGATCATAAAACACCTCTGACATTACACAAAAAAGTTGGACAGGAAACATTAAGGAACCAAGGGTTATTAACCCCTCCAAATATGGAAAATGTGCCTTTATTT